CTTGGATTTCTTGGAAGTCTATTTCCTTTGCCAGATTGGGGAAATTTTCTTTTATTATTTGTTCAAATAGTTTTTCCACTGGTGGTTGTGACTTTCCCCCTTCTGGTACCCCTATAATTCGGATATTGGAGTGTTTAAAGATGTCCTGGAGGTTCCTAAGCTTCTCCTCATTTCTTTGAATTCTTGCTCCTTGACTCTTTTCTGTTTGGCCATTATTTGCTTTCTTCTGGGCCACTTCATTGATTTGAGTCCCAGTTTCCTTTTCATCTCTATGGGTTTCCTGTGGAATTCCATTCATTTCCCTTAATTTAGCCTTCATATGTTTCTCTAATTTGTGGCTATAATCCACCAGATCTGTGAGGAAGGTGATGACCAGTGTTTTAAACTGTGCGTCTGAGAGTTTTGCTATTTCTTCGTCATTTAGATTTATCTCTGGGGCTTTGAGTTCTGCCTGCGACATTTTTGGTCTGTTCTGGCCCTTTAAGTGGGAAAGCGGCGCCTTGGAGTCCCAGGTCGCTGGGTTGTGACGCTGTATGTGGGGGCGTGGTCAGAGCGGGGAAATGGCGGCGCCCTCTACTGCCGCTTGCCGCGGGGACCAGCTGGCCCCGGTCCAACCGCTCACTCCCTCACTCGCTCGCAATCAGGCAACCACAGTCAACTCGCTGCCACCGCCTCCCCACTGTGTCCTCTGTTGTCGCTCACCCGGTGGGCTGCTCGGTGGCTCACTAGGTCCAATCCTGGGTTTGGAACCCGCGCGACTGGATTTGCACGTCTGGATTCCGCGCCCGGGTCCGACCGAGCCCTCCTTTGTAAGTCCTCACCTGACGCCGGTTTCGCCCCTTACCGGTCGGGCTGAAGAATTTGTTGTTAGCGGACTTCCGAAAAGTTCAGTTTTCCGTATTCTGGTTGTGTTTTCTGATGCTAATATTTAGTTGTCCCTAAACTTGGTTGTGTGAGGAGGTACGGCACATCCAGCTAAACCTCCATCTTGGCCCAGACATTGGTTTTATTGTTACTCCTTCAAACGTTTTGTGTTCTCTCTCTCTGGGTGTCTTTGGAATTGTCCGGGTTTTCAGCAATTTGACTATGATACTCTTAAGTTTAATTTGTTTTTATTCCACATGGAGTTTCTTGAGTTTTATGAATGTGTGGGTTGATAGGTCAACCGTTCTGGAAAATTCTCAGCCATTGTTTCGACAAATATGGTTTCTGCCTCAGTTCTTTTCTGCCTGGGACTTCAATGACAAGTCTCAAGATTGTGTTCCTCATGTCCCTTACGCTCTTTTCTGGTAGTATTTGTCACTGCTTTGTTTCTGCGATCTTTTTACTCTCTTTGCTTCGGTTTGGACTTGTATCCATCAGCCTGTCTTCAAGCGCTAGTCCTGTCTTCTGCGGTGGCCCTTTTTCTGAAGCTATACAGTGAATTCTTAACTTCAGATCTGTGCTTTTAAGCTCTTTCTAAAAAGAGAGCTTTACTGAGGTATAATTTATGAACTGTGAAGAATGCATCCATTTTAGGTGAACAAAAGTAAATGTGTTTTAGTAAATTTATGGAATTGAGCAACCATCAGCGCAGTTCTTATTTTTGCTTTTTCCCTTTATAGAATTTATTTTGGATGACATTCAATTTGAACTTTAACTCAAGCACTTCACTAATTTGCCAATCAACCTGATGATACACTGATTATCCAAAACTTTAGCAAGGCAGAATTGCTCTCTTCCCATTTTTTTATATATATAACTGATATATCATGAAGTTCAGCCCTTCAGATTATGCATGTCAGTGGTCTGCAGCAGTCACAAAGGTGTGTGATCATCACCACTATTTAATTCCACAACACAGTCATCCCACCAGAAAGAAAGCCCCTCCCCACTAGCAGTCACTGTCCACTCTTTCCTCCTGCAGCTCCTGGCAACATCCGTTTATTGTCTGTCTCTACCCACTTGCCTGTTCTGGACGTTTCCCGTAAGTGAAATCACACAATATGTGGCCTTTTGTGTCTGACTTCTTTCATTGAGCATAATGTTCTTAAGGACTGTTATATTATAGCTTCTTTTTATGGCTGAATAGTATTCCATTTTTTATTTTTTTTAAAAAGACTTTATTTTTAGAGAGAGGGGAAGGGAGGGAGAGAGGGAAACACTGATGTGTGAGAGACGCATCGATCGGCTGCCTCTCGCACACCCCAAGCTGGGGACCTGGCCCGCAACCCAGGCAATGTGTCCTGACTGGGAATCAATCTGGCGACCCTTTGGTTTGTGGGCCAGCACTCAATCCACTGAGCCACACCAGCTGGAGCAGTATTCCATTTTTGGATATATCATTTTGTTTATCCATTCATCTGTTAATAAATACTTGTTTCCATTTGGGGGCTATTATGAAGTGGCCCAAATTTGGTTCAATTCTGATCATAAACCTAGGAGAGGGATTGCTGGATATGTTTAATTTTTTGAGGAACTGCCCAACTGCCTTCCAGATCAGCCGCACCATTCATTCTACATTTGCCACCAGCAGTGTATGCGAGTTCTAATTTCTCCGTGTCGTTGCCAGCACTTACAATAGTCCATCTTCTTGATTGCAGCCATTCATGAGGGTGTGCTTTGTGCTTCTGATTTACAGTTCCTGACAACCAATAATGCTAAGTGTCTTTTATGTGCTTATTAGCCATTTGTACGCATATCTTCTTTGGAGAAATATCTATTCAACTCCTTTGCTCATTTTTTAAATTGGGATGTCTTTTTATTGAGTTGTAAGAATGCTTTACATGACTGGAGACTAGACCCTTATCTATAATCCGTATTCAGAGCAGTTTCATCATTGCCAAACGAACCCCATGCTGTTTGCAGTCAATTCCGTCACTGCCAGGCAACCACACAGCTGCTATTTCGGGACGGTCTCTCCATCCTATATTAAGTTTCGTCTCCTAAATATTGTGAGATTGTGGGAGCTCTCACTCTGCCTTTTGGAAGCCCTTTGCTTGGCTTCTAGCATGCCACTGGGCTTCAGCAAGAGTCCTATGAGAAATCAGCCCCATATTTGGGGTGTCTCAGGCCCCCATGTGCCCTATGAACCAAGAGCCTTGGGATTTTCCTTTCTCCGTGCTGAGCCCCTCTGTACAGACCAAACCCAGGCCTCAGTCCCAGGCCCAGAATCAGCAAACGCCTCCCAGGGGAGAAAATGGCCAGACCATCAGCCTGCCTCAGAAAGACTTCCTCCTCTGAAATTTCAATGTATTGTCTTTACCGCTTCCACAGTGTTCTCATGTTTAGAACACTGCATTTTAATTCCGTTTCTGACAGTTGGAGCAGGAGTGTTGTGTTGCTGTGCTCTGCAATTTCCTCCCCACGACTCACTGGAAGCTTTTAAGTCTAACTTCGGATGAGTTTCCTCTCCCTCTCCACCCCAGACATGTTAGCTGTTTGATGAGACAGTTCTTCCACGTAAATTTCCAAAATCCATTTATCTAGTTTCCCAGAAAAGAAAAAACCTGTTGTGATTTTGTTGGAAATATGTTCAATTTACAAATTACTTGAGACAGAACTGAAGTCCCTGTAAGTTCCCCCCCCCCCAAACATGGCAGACCTACCCACTGAACAGAGCACCGTTCTGTCCTTTCATATTATACACTGTCCTCCCTAAGGAACTGTGCATTCTTTATTGCATTTCACCCTGAATATCTTAGTTTATCTTTTAAAGCACTTTCTATTTCTTTAGGCGAATACATTCATCACAAACAAAAGGATACATTAACAGTTTCCCACCCAAGTTTTCCTCCAGAAGAAACCAACATTCCTAGTGTATTCATTGCAATATGGTAAATATTAATACACAGTAGTTGTATCAGTTTTTGTTCCTCATTCTTGTTTTTAGTAATCTGGCTGAGTTTGCTTGTGATTTCTAACAGTAGGTTTAGATTTTGTTTGTGTACATGCATTCATCTGCAAAGAACAATCACTGGCCAGTTCTCTTCAGTGATTTTAGTGCATTAGCCGGGGGGCCTCTCACACAGGCGCTCTGGGAACCAGCTGGGTGACGGGGACAATGGAGGGCCATCCTGTCTTGATGACTGGGCTTCTGTTTCATAGTTACATACGAAATTCGCTATAGATTCTCAGCAGGTGTCTTTATCAGGTTAAAATATATTATCTCTGGTCCTATTTTGCTAAGAATGAGTATCATGAAAGTTTTTATGGAATTATGCACCTACTGAGACGATCCAGTTCTTCTCCTTTAATGTGTAATTGTGCTGAATCACCCACTTGTGGAAAAAAAGTCATCTCAAATACAACACTTTTACCCCAAGTTGTTATTTATTTTCATGAGGGGGGAGAAAAAAGAACTTTTTATGATAGTGAAAATATACTTTATTTTAATACAACAGCTGCCAGCAATATACTGGTTCCAGAGAGACAAAAGAAAATACAAGCATTCTCTAATAAGCTTTCATCTGCCTTTTCAAGTAATTCTAAAGAAAATACTCCAATTCTGTTCAACATTATGACTTAGGGAGTTGAAATTTTTTTTCCATGATAAAAATATAATTTTGACAGCTCCCAATATTGGTAATTTGTAAAGAATGGAATAAAAAAAGCCCATATAGTATATCAATAATGAATGCTTCCCTCTCTTTGAATCAAATACAATTATAACCAGTGTAAGAAATTGGTTGACAATAAACTTGATGAAAGTTGTATCAAAATGTTCATGAAAAAATACAGTTCCATTTCTTATCACTTTTACCTTATAGATATTTTCTAAGTGGATACTTTAAATGCACAGAAATAAAAGCTATCTACATGCAACTCTGGAGATTCAAAACTCAACGGAAGTAAAACTGCCTGAATTCTAGAGGCAACCGACTTAGGGTAAAGAATAAACGTCAGAAATCTCAACTGCTCACAGGTTTACAGATAACTGTGTGAGCCAAAGTTACCAAGAAATAAAATCTTGCGTGAATTTTATCACAAGTCAACAATCCTAGTAAAAGATAACAACTGTATACAAAAATTTGCATTTGCATTTATTTTTTTAAGGAAGTCGTCAACTGAAACAGCAGAGAGCTTTCCAACTGTCCAACACAAAACTTCCCAGAATCCCTTGGGAAACGGGCAGGGCCTCCATGCAGATGCCAACCTCCTTGTTGGTTTAAATGAAGGAGATGATACGGTAGTTGCAGAAATAATATCAGGTGATTTCCACTACGTGAACCCACACACTACTACATGGTTACTTTTCTCCCCAAATCTCCTAAGACTTAAGCTATGAACTTCCTACAAATAGCAGATGGGTTAGACAAGCATTTGCTGGGATCATCCTATTTTCTGGCTTTTGTCAATTTGCTAATCTCAATTCCATTGGACTAACTTCCCTGATAAACTAATAAGGTCTTTCTATACAGAAAAATAACTTTGCCCTCATCAAAATCCTAACTGACCTACCTTCCTTGGCCATCGAGAGGACAGGCAAGAGAATCAGGGGATAAATATTTTTTTAAAGGTAGAGAATAAATATCCAAGGTAAAAATACTTCACAACTGAGTTTCAGAACGTACTTTTCATCATCACTCTCCTTTGAGGAATGGTGGTCCTTCCTCATCAGCCCTCCACTCCACACCACTCAGTTCCCCATTCACCGGGAAGCACGGACACCCCTTCTTCTGCATCTTCTGCTCCCTTTGAGCTTGGAGGCAAGGTTCGGTATCACCTGCATGCCAAGTCACCACTATTTAAAAATTTAGAGATGGAAAGTGCTGATTGGCTGTCTGTGTCCTGGCGCAGACGTGCGTTTCCCCCACTGAAGCTACTGCTACAGCATCTCTGTAGATAACCTGATAGTGCTTCTTCCTGGAGCCAGATGAATCAGCATCCGATACTCAACTGCAAGAGGTGGGTGCGCACTTTTGATCGGCAATAAGGAGTTTTAAGAAAGGTAAAGCAAATCTCCCTGAGCCAAATGGACACAACATGGAGCTTTTCTTATCTTTCTCCACTAAGCTAATTCCTGACAGGTTAAAAAATGCAGTATGCTCATAAAAACCCGGCTGCTTCCATAAAGGCAGTGTTTACTGAATGTCAGCACATCAAAGGGAGGAGATCATTGCCATTTTAAAGCAAGACACTTATGATTTCCGAAAATAACCTATGAGAAATAGCACTTCTTAAACAAGTTAGGCATAAAAAAATTACCCAAAAATCTATTGTTAATCACAACCCCAGCTTTGGAGCAATACTCAGAAGGTCTAGTTTTATTTTTAAAATGAAAAAATACATGGCAAGCTTTTGTTTTATTCTCCCCAAGTTCACCCTCCCTTGTCGGAGCACACAAGTCACTCCTGGTTTGAGACTTCCGTTTGAACGGCAAACAGACACGCCGAGTGCTGCTCCTCAGTCTGGCTGCGGAGAAATGTAACTGAAGGAAACACTATGATCGACATTAGGCAAAACCGCAGTGAATGCACCCTCACCCTAACAACCATAATTTAGTCCAAAGGAGGGAGCCACCCTCTACCCAATGTTGAATGGCAAATGAGGGTGGGATGGAAAAGCTGCCACTCTGTGCGTTTTATCTCATTTTTAACACAGGGTGGACAATGCAGTCTTTAGATTACCCACATTACACGTGCTTTAGAAACAGAAGTCTACCTGACTGTTTGACAGACCCACCCCGTTAGGTCAATTTCTGTGTTAATTTCTACCTTACTAACCACTGTGCTGCTAAAGCCAAATCAACTAAAATACCAGTATATGTAGTGTTGCTCAGAAGACCTACAAACAGCAAGGTGCACATCTACCTGAAAAGGAGCCTTTTAAAATAAAGGGAGAGAGTGGTAGCATTCCAGATGAATGGCACCGGGCAAAGTACACAGAGCAAATACCACATCCAGACGGAGTATCAGGTGCCCACTGGCTTATTGTGTATGGATAAAGTTCTTGAGAAAGATTGAGAACATTATCCCTCCCTCTAAACTTTTAGCTTCTCCATAGGGTCAGATGCTACAACTGGTATAATGGACAGATGCTTTTAGGAAAAGTGAAAACCCACATACGAAGTAAAACAGCAAAATCTCTAGTGACCTGGGCGGAAGGCTCCCCCCTCCGGTGGTGACCCCCTTCAGCACACATCCGGGACAGACTAAACCTAGACGGAGCGGTGTTTTGATACAGTAGCAATCCTTTCATATACTCTCACTGAGTATTACAAGACTCCCCCAAACACATAAATATTCCTGTACCATGCATTATGCACCAGTGTGGGGCGGACTGATGAGGTCATGGTTGCTATTTCCACAGCTGAACGCCACACCTCAAAAGTCCTGCCGTCAATACACAGTGAATGGACACCACGGTGAGGGCTCTGGGGAGGCGGCAAACTCCCTCTGATGTAACAAGTTTGTGGTGAAGGGTCTCCAATGAGAGGAGAGGAGGGTACGGGGCAGGGGAGGTAGGCAGGGTAGAAAATTTTAAAATAATACTGCTTAGGAGTGTATGTTCAAAGATAGCTACTATACCTCATCTATCCTTTATCCTAATCTTGAGTAACTGCCATGTTCATGCAAAATAAAGTTTCTACTTTATAGGAAGAGAATCAGTCTGTTAGGAAAAGCATATTCGTAATCAGGATGAGATGTGAAGACATCTCTCTCATAGCGCTCTTTTACTTGGTAAGTCTTTTGGCTACATCACTATACGCTATTTCGACCTCCTTATCGCTGGGGCAGGTATTGGTGAACTCATCCCTACTATAAGCATTAGTTAGGTATCTCCAAATGCCGGTCATCCTTTTTGGAATATCAAAGTTGCGGTATTTTTTGGCCACCACCTGAAATACAAAGAGATTAAAAATTAACATTTATTTGTCAGGTTAACCAGAATATCTTTGATTTTAAGAAAAACTGAGTCTGTGAATCTCTAAGAATGGCTTCTATTTGAAAGCTTAAATGTCCTCTGTACCTCTCTCGTTAATTCCGCCAGAGAAGGGGGGGCTGAAATTAGAAGTCCCCTTCATTCTAACTGGACTCTTAAATACTGATGAGGACAGCAAACCACATGAGATTCCAGGTGCGACACTGACTGCCGACCCTGTGCAGCTGCCCGGAAGGGAGGCCAAGGGGAACCATGGGTGCACATCAATTCTCTCAAACACACAGTTTCAGATCTGTTTGCCTTGACCTCGACCTTTACCGCATGACTAGCGTGCACTGCAGTTGTCCATCCAGCAGTGTCTCACACGATAAATGAACAACAAATATTTCTGCCTTGGAGAGAAAAGGCCAGGGGACCGCGGGACAGAATTTAATGATACGTCACTGCTGCAAACTGCAATTCAAAGTAACCTATTACACCTTTGAATGCAGTCACAGAAAAATATTCCTCTTTCTCCTGTGCTTCAATTTTAGAACAATTCCCCATTTAATTAACTCTACGCTGTTTCAATGATTGCCTAAACAGCATTAAATCGCACCACTCGGGGTTCCCAGCCCTGCGTGGGAAGATCGGGAAAGCTTACACACAGAAGTGCCGTCCTAGTTCGAATCAGCCGGGGCCCGCAGCCCTACCTTGACGATGTGCAGTTTGGGCAACAGGTTGCAATCAGCCAGTGTCATTTCATTGCCGTCCAGGAACTTCCGTGTGGAAAACTTAACGTCCTCCATACTGTTCTCGTCGATCTCATCCAGGAGGGGGGAGTTCAGGTACTCATCCAGTTTCTGCAGCGTCTTCAGGAGGCCTCGCTCCAGCGCTGGAAGAGACGCGGGGACACCGTGAGAAGGAAAAGCGCCCGAGCCCCGAAGCACGGCTCTCTCGGTCAGGAGCTTCGTCCAACGCCTCCTCTGACAGTGACACTAAGAGCAGACACAGTTCCTGCTCTCCTGGGGGGGGGGGGGCAGGTAGTGTGAGACAAACAAATCAGTTCCGACAGACGGAAAAACGAGTATGAGTTTCAGATAGTGGCTGCTGTAAAATCTTGTGGATAACTAAATAGCCCACATACGAACACATTATGGCCCAGCATGATTGATGCTTAAACTGGAAAAATGGGTAAGAAAAAGCAAGCCCATTATTTTCAACCTAGGGAAGAAAATCCTGCCCAAAGAGATTTTTTACTCTCAATGTTTAAGTCCGACTCCCATGAGAATATTTGGACTTTGCACCAGCAAACGTGCTAAGAGGCCCCGGTGCAAAGAGAAAACCTGGAGTCTTCGTGCTGCCTCGTGTGACCCAAGACGCCAGCGACAGTGACTCGCATGACAACATGAAAACCAGAGGTCGGGTCAGAGAGCCGCACGAGTGTCTCCCGAGGCCAGTAGATCGAGATGCTGTAATTGTTATCATTTAGAGAGAAGTAGCGACGTCATTAGAAATATGGAGTAACCATAGACACACCTTCTACTCTCCTTTCTTAACGTGACTTTCCGGAGCCAGCTTCACCCCCATTTCCAGAATGAATGAGCTCACACAAATGATTGCAGTGCTTGACTGTAAAAGTTAAACCTTATGAAGGGACATCTATGCAGTCATGAATTCGAATAAAGTTGGACCCACTATGGGAAAAGGCAAAGTCTCACACGCCGCCTGTGAGGCATTTTACCGGCAACACAATGTACCTCTTCCTCCAAACGGGCCCCGCCCACTCATCCCCTGGTCCTTCCGAGCAGTGCAGGCAACAGACGGCGGTCATAGCTGGGTAAGGGGCTGCACACATAAAAAGGGATGCTCGGATTTTTTAAAGTCGGTGGGACAGAGAAAGACAAACTCAGAGGGACCTCGTCTGGCTGTGCTTCGCAGGTGCTGCGCTGTCTGCAGAGTGAAGCTCTGCGGCAGCCCGTGTCGGGCGGGCTTGTCGGCGCCCTTTCTCCAACGGCAGCCGCTCACTTTGTGTCTCTGTGTCACATTCTGGTGATGCTTTTGCACTATTTCAAACCTTCTCAGAATCATCATATTCATTCGGTGATGTCTGACCAGTCGTCTTTGATGTTACCATTGCAATGATTTAGGGCCACCACACACCGCACCCATGTCACACAGTGGGGCTCACGTCACACAGTGAGTCTCATCGGTCCCTGCTGTGTGTGTCCTGACTGCTCCACTGCTAGCGCCCCCCAGTCTCGCTCCCTCCCTGTGGGCCTTCCTGTTCCCTGAGACGCAGCAATACTGAAATGAGGCCAATTCATAACCCCACCATGGCCTCTACGTGCTCAAGGGAAAGAAAGCATCCCATTCTCTCTCACTTTAACACAGAAACCAGAAATGATGGCGCTCAGTGAGGAAGACACGCTGACAGCCGGCAAAGGCGTGCTGAAAGCCAGGGCAGGCCGAACGCCAGGCCTCTTGTGCCAGACGATTAGTCAAGTGATGAATGCACGCGAAGGAAAATTTGTTGAAGTTCTGCAGCTCATGGATCAAGGAATAATTTCGACTTTCAAGTCTTATGTAAGAAATACATTTGTAAGGCTATAGCTGCCATAAATTATGATTCCTCTGATGGATGTGGGCAAAGTAAATTGAAAACCTCTGGAAAGGATTCACCATTCTGGACGCCATTAAGAACGTTCATGAGTCATGGGAAGAGGTCAAAAATAGCGTTAACAGGCGTTTGGAGGAGGCTGATTCCAGCCCTCACACATAACTTTGAGGGGTCTAAGACTTCAGTGGAAGAAAAACTGCAGATGTGGTGGAAACAGCAAGAAAACTAAAATTAGAAGTTGAGAGAGCCTGGCGACGTGGCTGAATCACTGCAATCTCACGATAAAGCTTAAACGGCGGAGGGGCTGCTTCTCATACGGTCGGGCAGACAGTGGTTTCTTGAGATGAAACCTGTGCCCGGGGAAGATGCTGTGAAGACTGCAGAAATGACAGCGGAGGGTTCAGAATATGCCATGACATAGGTGGTAGAGCAGCAGCAGGGTTTGAAGGACTGACTCCAGTGCCAAAAGAGGTTCGACTCTGGGAGAAATGCTACCAAATGCTCCGTCTCTGCTGCGGAGAAATTGTTCAGGAAAGGAAGCCGGTCAATGGGGCAAACTTCCCTACGGTCTTATTTTAAGCAACTGCCTCCCTGATGAGTCAGCAGCCATCAATACGGAGTCAAGACCCTCTGGCAGTAAAAGATGATGACTCATAACAGACCTGCAGGCGTAACAGGCTGCAGTTTGAACATAACTTTTATACGTGCTAGGAAACCGAATGTTCCCGTGCCTCACCTCACCGAGATGCTCACTTCACTGCAGCGACCTGGAGTGGAACCCACAGCATCTCCAAGGTCTACCTGTACCATATTATCTAACTTACACGTACAACCTAGAAAACTAACAAACAAAACTGACAGATACAGAAGAGAGGGGTGGGTATCAGAGGGGAAGGAGGTCGGGAAGTGGGCAAAAAGAGGGTGGGGGGTCACGTGCACGGTGACAGGCCGTAACGAGAACGATCGCGGTGGTGGCAGCACACACAAAGATCAGGGCACTGTGCCGCACACCCGAAACTAATGTAATGTTGCATATCAATTTTACGATAAAAAAAATTGGGATAATGATTAGAATTGCCTTAGTTGACATGATAGCTAAAAATGAATGAAAGATGCATGAAAAAATTTTAAGAGCCAGTATCTGATAATTGAACACCCTGTCATTTTTAATATGCTTTAAAAAGTATATTAGTTATGTTCGGTCCTTCATATGGGCACTTTCTATTACTATTATATTTTAAGAGCTTTTTATTTTTAAACTTAAGGCTGGTTTACATTAAACTAATAGTCTACAAAATCATGAACTTCTTCCTTCTAGTTCTTGCTATTAAATTCATGTATAATCCCCACTTTTGTACTTCCTCTGAACATCCCCTAAAAGTTACGGCGCTCTGCCTAAGCACATATCGGGCACTTGGTCAGCATCTGGCCCAGACTGAGATAAGACAATAATTAAGTAGAAAAGTTTTGATTTCTTAATGTACGGATAAGGTTCAAAAGGAAATTAGATACTTTAAAATGTAGAACAGACACTTTTAAAGTCAGATGAGTGACAATATTTCCACTTGACTGTTACATCTTTGTGGAAAGCTGAGAATGAGGTAGGCACTGCATATTGCTATAGAACATAATAGCCATTTTAAAACTGTACAGAACTGGTAATAATTTTTACTTAGGTGAAAATCAAACGAACTGGAATCGTGGTATTGGTCAAGTTACAGGCAACATCAAGATCAAAGAACTACCTATGTTACTAATAAAAGGTCACTCTAGCATAGCCAGGACCAAGCTAGTTTGTTTCTTAGATGAAACCGTGGGGCAGTGGGGCACCGGGACCTCGTGAAATAAAGCTGAGGACTCAGGGAAGTTCAACTGAAGCGAAAGGAGTGACAGGGAATCGGGCCAGTTAGAAATGAAAGATGAAAATACAAAGGTAGTAAATATCACTCTTCATTAATTATATACAAAAGCTACTGATCATGCATACAAGTAAGCTGAAATGTAAAGTTTATAAATTAACAAGAAAATGCAATGTGAGAAATAGCTAAGTTAGTAAGGAGCCCAGGGCATGATGGAAAACCTTTCAAGGTTGTACTCAAAAGGAAAAAGAAAAGAAAAAAAAGAAAGAGACAGCGGACAGCGGACTCTAGAAGAACCAAGATCCAAAGTGCTTGTTACCCAAAGCTGGGAAAACAGAAGGCATACACGTGAGACGTAGGACTTGCTCCCTGGCACGATTACAATGAACAGAAGCACGGCCCGTAAGGAAGGTAACCCGGCCTGAACGCAAACACTGAAATAACACCTGAAATGCGCCTGAGTGTACGGCCGGTTTGAGCAAATCGGTAATCTCCAACCTATTCTAAATCAACCCTTTTTCTGAATTAATTCAAGTATATCCAATAGGAAAATAATATTTACAAGGTTTATACCATACAATGCCTATCAATCCAAATGTAAGGCACGGACTAAAAGTACACTAGCAAAACATTACAATGATTGTTCTTTCTGTAACTCTGGACTTAGCACAGCCCCTGCAATGACGCTGAACTAGAATAGCAATACCTGATTAGAATGTTCGGTGCTTTTTCATAGTTAAGAATATCAGAATAAAGGGTGTATTAGTGAACACAAAAAATGCTGAGTTGGTTTGATACAATTTTTATGTATCGATGTAAGAAATGGCAAACAAAACAAAGAAAAAAATAGAAGTACCAAAAGGTACTAAAGAGCACCATGCAATCCACACAAGTTTTGAAGACAAAACATCACACAGGAATTGGAAATTGGTTAAATTAAAGAAAATGCACAGACTAACCACTAGGAGGCAGTAGCAGGCCACCGGAAAGGAGCTCCTTGCCTTTTGCAGTAGGCAGCACTATTATTCTCCAATACCTCTGGAGTAACAATACCAGTATCTCCAAGATGATCTTTCAAACGCTCTCAGAAATATTAGTAAGTGCGATAGACCATACAGTCAGTTTTAATTAATCATGAAAATCAAAACTTTTTTTTTTTTCACTATGAAAATTCAGTAAAATTGAAAGACTAACCACATACACACACCAGGTCAGAAGTGTGAGGGAGGAAATGACTACTTTCATGTTACTGGGAATAAATAGTTACTGGTATAAACTTTTGGAGAACAAAACATTTTAACCTATTTGGAATCTAGCACAAGGACATTCACTGGCAGTGAAATCTGTCATAATAAAATAACTTGACACAATCTAAAAGTCTACCAACAGAGATATGGTTAAATAAAAATCCATATTATGGAATATTAAGCAGCATTTCTTTAAAAAATGAAGTAGATTCTATACTTTTAAGAATTCCCACCACATACTGTGAAAAAGACAACTGCATAATGCAGATATATAAATATACATTTATGTACATGGCAAAATTGCACAGAAAAAAGGATGCATGCTGTAGGGAAAAAGGTTACATCATGTGACTTACGGGGCACTGAATTTTTATTAAATTTATATTTACATTAATTTAACTCTTTTTAAAAGATTTTTATTTACTTATTTTTAGAGAGAAGGGAAGGGAGGAAGAAAGAGAGGGAGACACCAATGTGTGGTTGCCTCTCGCATGCCTCCGATTGGGGACTGGGTTAATTTAACTTTTTAAATAAGCAGGTATTACTCTATTACCAAATGAATAAATACAAAGCAGAAACCATTGAACATAACAAGTCCACATCTGTTGCAGAAAAACAATATAGCCCTAGCTGGAGTACTGGACTGCAAACCAAAAGGCGGCCAGTTTGATTCCCAGTCAGGGAACGTGCCTGGGCTGTGGGCCAGGTCCTCAGGAGTGAGAGGCAACTGCACATTGATGTTTCTCTCCCTCCCTTCCCCTCTGTCTAAAAATAAATAAATCAAATCTTTAAAAATAAATAATAAGATGAATTATATATTTCATTTACCCATCCATCAATCAATTTATCTAGCAATCTTCCTATCATCAGTGTTTCTCTTTATTTTATTCTTTACATCTTATTTACTTGTACCTAATCTAAGCACTGGCCCTTCTTCTTCTTCTTTTTTTTTAAGATTTTATTTATTTACTTTTACAGGGGAAGGGAGGAAGAAAGAGAGGGAGAGAAACATTAGTGTGTGGTTGTCTCTTGTGCGCCCCCCACTGGGGACCTGACCCGCAAGCCAGGCATGTGTCCCCACTGGGAATCGACCCGACGACCCCTTGCTTCACTAGCCCAACAGCACAGCATCTAGGCATCTAATCCCTTAGCTCAGAATGAGGTCTAAAGTTATCCAAACCTTTGTAAAGTACTGGATTTTGTAAAACATTTCATAGGCTGGTAAAACTAATCGAAGACCTGCCCATCATGATTTACCATATAAAATGCCAAATCCATCTCAATGTAAGATGTTTATTGTTTGGAGGAATAAGGAAGTGGACCATTCATTTCCTAGGCTTATTTAAGGCATTTAATAGCATGAAACAGTCAGATAAGAGACCTGCAACACATATACGTAAGGGAGATCCCATTAAGGTCCAAAATTATTTGGAACATTTGTTTCCTAAAGTCACATGGCAGGGACAGGTCCCTGTGGGGAGAAGTTGCCTGGCAACTGGAATTCTTATTTAGCAATAGGTAATTTAATACAAGGCCTTTTAAGTTATGCACTGTGCAATCCACTGTGTTGTCTGTTCTTATTGGTTACAAAATTCTAAGGACAGTAAGGGTAGGTGGCTACTAAAACAGTAACAAATTGATAGGAAAAAGCAGAATACAAAGATATACTTAAATGACTCACTTTCTCCCCTATTTTCTCTCAGCAATCCCATCCACCAAAAAAACACCCCAAAACCTAATTTTTTTAAGCAAACACATTTTTTTCCCTCTCCACCAAGTGTCAAAAGAAATTCAACCACCCTCCAGCTTCCAAAATCCACAAAGAGAAATAAAAACACTATGACTTTAACTAAGAGAGTCTGAAGACCTATGCAGCAAGAGCATCTGAGTATATAAACAATGTCATGGAGAGGAAAGGCAGAGCAGAATATAAACCGTCTGTGGAAAGGAGGGGCCCCAGTGTCACAGCCTACTTGGTGCATAAAGTGCTTACACAGAAATATCAGGGTGGGGGGAAGTCAACTCCTAAGGAAAGCTGCTTCCAAGCCAGGGCAGCCTCTGGAACACATTTCATCGATACAAGCCAGGCCTGAGCACCAGCCTTCCTCCCCCTCACTGCAGAGCGCATTTCATTCAATGAATATTCCGGGAGGCATTGAAATTCAACACTAAATGATAAAATGCTGCGACTTGAAATTTTAATAATAAAAAATAATAGCCTGAATAGCTTGGAAATGTGTTTACTGAAATGATAAAAGGAAATCAGCAAGTGTTTCAATTTTTAAAAAACTGTTTATTCTTGTTTAATCGGCACTGATTCCTTCCCCCACCGCCCCCCCCTTTTATATTCTTGGTCATTTGCTGCCATAAACTTCTATGCAAAAGAATCCCACTGGGCTGGTCAAGCACCTTCATTGTCCACAGTAGGGTCAGAGACAAAAAAACAGCAACAGCAGTCACTTCAGATCACCCTACACTCAGAACTTTCTACCATAATTAAACTTTGTAAGGGTGGTGCTGACCAACAGAAAAATAAGATGTCAAGAATTTTGCTAACAAGTGCTCTGCCGTGTTACAAAGCTTTTCTACTATGAGAAGACACACTTGTGACACAACAGCTTCTTTTAAAAAATTCCACCCTGGCTGGTGTGGCTCAGTGGACTGAGTGCTGCCTGAGAACCAAATTGTCACCAGTTCAATTCCCAGTCAGGGAACATACCTCGGTTGTGGGCCAGGTCCCCAGTAGGGGGTGTGTGAGAGGCAACCACACACTGATGTTTCTCTCCCTTACCTTCTCCCTCCCTTCCTCTTTCTCTAAAAATAAATAAGTAAAATCTTTTAAAAAGTTAAAATTAAAAAAAAAAAATTAAATCCACACAAATGTATGAGGCATGCAGGCTGGGTGAAGAGGGGTAAAGGGGAAGAAATTAGGGGACACCTGTAATATTGTCAACAATAAAAAAAGACATACATATTTTACATATTTAAATATCACGTAGTCATTATTTCTTCCTCAAATAGGAAATATAGTGGGAAAAACTCAACTGTCTAAAACAATGATGGATTAAAGTGTCTTTAGGAGCTGGCTTTTTTGGTTATTGTTGCTACTCTTAATTAAATACTAATGCTTTCTCTGTACAGTTTTCTCCAGAGAGAATAATGCTTAACATCCCAAAGAAAAGAAAACAGAAAATTACTGACTGGTGTGGGTTAAGACAATGTTCATTAAATGGGACCTCTTTCAAAGAGGCTTCCCTCTAATGCACCAAATGGTAGTCTGGTAGACAAAATACGACTGCCCTTTAATAAACAAAATAAGAAAATCACATCCACATTACCTAAACAATTCTCACCAGGAAACTATAACTTGAAATTAAAATCCTAGTTTTAGGAATGCAGAGAAATTTGCAAGTTGTTTCTTAGAACAACTCCAAAGGTTGCTCTTTAAGCGTATTTAGCACAAAAATCCACCGAGGCTGATTTTAGAATGCTGGCACCCAGCGATAAACAAAAGATTCAGTAATGGCTTAAACTAAACTCTATGAGTCCACTGTTTTTGATGCAACACTAATTCTTTGCATAGCTCCCTGCACAGCAACTTCTCAGAAGAATACGATAACCAATTCTTTCGATGAACACTTTATCACACACCTACTATACTGCCAAGTGCTGTCCCACAAACGAGATACACAAAAATTAGCAATTTAAGAACTTGTCCTGGCTTATCATCAAATCCCTGATCAAGTCTGAATGCCAGTTTTTAACACTTATTGGAATATCTGGATTCCAAAGTACTCAATTACAATCAGTCACAATAGGGTTTTTTGGTAGCCCTCCCCCACCCCCAGCAAGTGTTAATCATTTCTTCCTTTCTTTCTTTTTTATTTTTATTTTTACCTTCATTAGCCTCTGGCCTTGAGTTCTTAATATATGCAGAGAACTTGGCAAAGATGTCCATCCCAGCAGTATTTGATTCTGGGTGTTTTGGGGAAAGCTTTAAGTACCTAAATGGAAAAAGTGAGAATAGATTATAGATCCTCCGAAGATACATTAGCATAAATTCCCTCAATCAATAAACCATTGTGCTAGCAGTTACTAGACATCTTCTAACAGTTATTAATCCAGAAAAATGCCATCATCTGTTTTCTATGACACTTTTAAGGTGTGCTCTTTCCTTTGGAAACAAAGCTCAGGACAGTTTTTATTCCCATGTTAAAATTCTTGGCAACCAGAAGACATCCGCACTTCACCTGCGTTTTATAAACCAGAAGGCTGGGGAAACCGACTACGCCTCCGGAGACTCGTGCCAAGACAAAGGGCATCTGAGAAAGAGAGCCATCGGGGACATTAAGAGAACTTCCTGTGATGACGGAAACATTCTACATCTGATCTATCCAATACAGTAGACCTTTAGTGATACGTGGCTACTTGAATATGAATTTCAAGTAATGACAATTAAATCCAGCTAAACACTTGCTCTCTCAGTTGCACTGGCCACCTTCCAACTGTAGAGCCTTCTTAGACAGGAGCGCTCCCCAGACGCTGGCTGTGCTGAGCTCTGCACCAGCCCCAGGCGCAGGACCAGACAACTCTGCAAGCAGGAAAAGTCTAGGCTGGCCTGGGTGTCTTGTTCACCCACAGTTGGTTGAGGATAAAAACGGCACGAGGACAAAAAATCACTCACGTACTTCAGATCACCCTACACTCAGGATTTTCCAGAACCTGCCATATGCTAAATTTTGTAAGGGTGACATGGAGCAACAGAAAAATAAGATGTCGGGAATTTTGCTGACAAGCGCTCTACAAAGAGCGCGGGTGTTGTTACAAAGTTTTCCTGCTTTGAGAAGTCATTAGTGACACAACAGCTTAAACACACACACACACACACACAAATGCGTGTTTTACATATTTCAATTTCAAACACACATACCCACAGATTTCTTCCTCAAATTGGAAAATACATGTTTAAAAAGCTTAGTGCTCCACTCTTTCCTCTTGCCCCAGCTCCAGGGACTCATGGCCAGAGGAATTCGGGCTGGTTGAGCCACTTCATGGACGATTCATCAGCTAAATGGCCCTTCCCAAATTTCGCTGGAATCCGGGCTTGGGGCAGTGAGGCTTTAAAAAATATCTTAAACCGAATTTGTCATTTAGATTTATTTATATATTTTAAGGTGCCGTCTTACCGCTTTTCTTTAAATTAAAAATGAAGATGAAGTACTTACAGATAGAAATTTAGTTCAGTTGTAAGGTCCAGTTCCAGGTTAGTTTTATAATCATTTTCTTTTTTTTTTCACATTTTACTATTTTGAATTCAAGAAAAGGTATACCTTCTAAAAACTGGACATCTATTTGGGTAAGAAGAATATAAGTATCTTCTATATGGCTAAGAACCACATGGGTAAGAAGAATATAAATATCTATTGAACATCTATATGTTCATCTTTTTAACATCTCTCAGTTTTTAAGCTTAAAATTTTCTCTTATAAACAAAATCATTTAAGTGAGTTTTCCAGTGAACAATTACAGTCAATGAATTTCACCTGAGTTTACACAGCATGCATGTACATTTCCCCCCCATCTACAGAAAACTTGACCTCCACACACGTCTTTTCCTTCCTGCCTGAGCTGTAACAGTTAATCCCTGTTTCAACAAACCTGGGTTTCCCTCGACTGTAAAAACAACCGGCCTCCAATTTAAACGTTTTCACCGCTGGTAATACAGTACCTGCATTGATTCATTCCAACGAAAAAACAGTGCAAGGAACAAACGTGCTTCTTCAATACCTCTAAGTCTTTCTCTAGCCAAGTTTCCAAAATTAGCCTTCTTTACCCCAACCAATAATTCGTTGTACCAACTTTTTCTAATGAGGTAAACTTTGTAAGTCTCAAAATACCTTACAGGAAGGCAGGCTTGAATTACAGATCATTTATATGTTCAGTATCCATACATATATTCTTTTATTCTAATTATGAAGAATCTGTTATGTGTCAGGCCTTGCGCTGCTGGGGACGTAATGATGAGCACACAGAGGCATAGTTACTAGAGACCCATTTAATGAACAGGTAAGAATGAAGGACTGTCAGTCAGCATCTCCTTATCTGTATGAAAATAGATGCCATTAAAAAATTTTAAAAGCACTGTTCTTAAAAGCAGCTAAATGTGCCCTGTTCCTCCCTTCCGAGACAAACCATTAAATCTGTATTATGAATTTAACACATACAATACTTTAATACCTCAATCTCTCTCATTTTGCCTAAAAGGAATTTATATTCCAGAAAATGTATGCATTGGCCCCAAAGTCACCGGATTAGTTAAAAATATTGCCAAACTAAAATCCAGACTTCCTGTCCCCAGGCACAGTATTTTGTTGTCAGTGTTGTTTTGCAAATGAGGTTCTAAAATTTAAATCCAATTCTGAACCAGAAGTTCCCAATTTAGCTGCCAGCTTTTTTTGCATCCCCCCAACACTGGATTTTAGTCATTCATTCATTATTATTGGTTTTAGCAGATAGCTTGATAAAGCAACAATTTTCAATTATTGTAAATATTCATTTTAACATTTAACAAAAGAAAGGTAAATAATTAATAAAAGGCTATGTGTCAACAGCAGGACATGAGTAGCCAGGGTACTGAGGCTTCAGATTAGCCCCTCACTCTGTTACATCACAGACTATTAAGGTAGATTAAGGTAGATCTTTCCTTTTAGGAAGGATCTCAAACATTTTTCCTTCCTCATACTAATATAAATTCTGGTTATATAGCATATTAAATTACCCTTGAGAATTCAATTTTCATTGCCAATATTTTTCATTTTAAAAAAAGGCTTATTAATAACACTTTAGAGATCTCCTCTCCAAAATTATCTCGCTTTCTCTATCCTTGCATCCTTTCTTCAGTAATACACAGGCCTGCTTCAGCTAAAAATCCAGTTTCAAAGCTTTTTTGAAAGCTTTTTTTTTTTGGGGGGGGGGGAAGGGTGTGGAGAAGGCAAAGTACTTCATTCAAGCAAGGGGAACTAAAAATAAAAATAAAAGTAAAAAAAAAAAACCATAAACGCTTTTCCTACCGAAGAAAGAGAAAGTTTCTTTTTAAAACCTATAGTTACCTTAACCAGCAAAACTTGCTTCACTTAAGCTTTTCGTTAGGCTCTAAATTCAAAACAAGTCCAGAACAGACAGTTGCCTGTATTTATATTTGTTGTGATGAAATCATAAGTACTCACATAAAAACACTCTGTTCTCAGTGTCACCAAATGCCAAAAACGTGTTATTAGAAACGCTACATTCTTGTACAACAATTCTGCCTTTTCTCCTCACCCTGTCTGGAAACAATAAGGCTTTCGACATGGGTGTGAGGAAGACGGACCACAGTTAAGGACCTGAAGATCCCCTTGTCCTGGAGAGAAAGGGCAGTGGGCCGGGACGGTCCCTGAGTGCCACGGATCGATAGAGGAAAGGGAAAGGGAGGCATGTGAGGGTCCCAGGCACATCTCTGCCCACCCCCCCCCCGACACAATTCTGCACTACACGGGCCACACTGTTTGATGAGCACGTCACGCTGGGGGTTGCAGAGCCCCCGGAAGAAAAAGCACACCCAATCCAAACGTGCTGTTGCAACGCATATAAATAAAAACTCACCGTAGTAAACCTCACCTGCTTTTTAAAAAGGATTTACTAAATTCACTTTGACAACCACCTTCGGCCCAACTTGCTCATCAAGTAAAGTCAATTGTCTGGGATTTCTCTCCTACCCTTCCTCCATGCTAGAGCGAGCCTTCGACTCGGTACTCTCTAGAGTGGGGCCAGGACGGGTCTGTGGCCCATTAGGATGGGGGCAGAACAGCAGGAGGCGAGCGGCTGAGCTCTGCCCCCTGTCTGCCACCCACCCTGGCAGTCCGTGGAAAAATTGTCCACAAAACCAGTCCCCGGTCCCTTTCAAAAAAGTTGGGCACAGCTTTCCTAAAGCACAACCCCAATTAAAGACACATTCTACCTTTTTTATAAAAGTAAAACTCAACGAAATGAGACACAGAAAGAAGACAATAGGAGGAACACGGGTTTTGGGAGTCATAGAGACCTGGCTTTGAAAGTATGTCGGCTCTGCCACCGTTAACGCCGGACAAATTATTTGGACTGCTCATCTTCAGTTTCTTCACCAGGTCTTTGAGAGGGGAGAGATCAGCCACAGAATAACCCACAACGCACAGGACAGGGCACGTGACCCGCACTTCAGTGTTAGCGGCAGCAGAGGCATTAGCAACATCAAAAATACTGCCTTTTACATTAACGAACTGCACAGCTATTCAGAAGCTCTCTTCAGATTACAACTCCTAACATAAAAACAAAGAAATGGCCCTTAGAGAGAATCTAGCACACTCTGAGCCCTTTATATCAGGAAGACCTGCAGGTTTTAAATGATTTAAATGGAAGGAAAAGAACACCTTCAGTGAAAGCCTCTCTATGAATATGACCAAACAAAATGGGGCCGCAGCTTCTCTGTACAAAGAGCAAAGCGAAAACGTCCACTTCCAAAGTCCAATGCGAAAAGCTACCGTGTCTTACAGACACACCAGAGCGTGCTGATGTGGACTGTATTTATCTGAGTGTCCAGTCCCTCTGAGAAAAATAACAAGAAGGAACAACAAAAAATCATTTTTGTTGTTGTCAAAGGGGGCAAGAAGAAAATATGAGAAACCATCCATTTGACTGCAGTGGTACATAATGGTATCAGCACACTGATTTCAAAAACGTAAACGTCTGGAAAGAATTTACACATTCAACACCTCAGACAAGGCTTTAAAACAAAATGCAGTTTTCTTCAGAGAGACTGGCAAGCCATTCCCACTGTTTCTCTGCTTATACGTTACTGTTGACACCGCGGTCTACAGTTACAGGAGAGGAATATCGCTTTCATTACTGTCCGAGGACAAGGTGGCAGAGGTGGAACTCTCCTCGGGGCTGACAGCCCTTGAAGAACAAAAAGGGATCCAGTGGGTTCCTGATGCAGGAATCTTCCGGAAGTTGCTGCCACTAAGTTGAACACACATTCATAACAGCTCCTTACCGATGTGTGTGGACCTTCGACTTATGTTTACCAAGATGCTGGTTCTGATTTATGGTTATTCTACTAATACGCAAGGCCTGGAGGAGAAGTCAAGATACGGCTTTGCTAGTGTTGGTCTGAAGAAACTGCACTGGGGACGGTAGGAAGGTGTGGACTCCTGGTGGGTAGGGATAAAAGAAGTTTAAGGCTCCTAAAAAGACAGGAAGGAAGAGAAAGGATAAGCTTTTATAATACAGGATGAAGAAAATGAAAGTTTAAGCTTAGTATAAGATTGCTAAACAGTGGGCAATTCTGTCCACAATTAAAAATGGGCTATTTGTAGACAGAGGTCCACCTTCAAGAGCCCAAAAGAAACACTATTGATTCCAAATGATTCTTACACTCGAAATGACTGTTACTCCTTCACTCACATGCCGAATGCCACTTTGTAAAATTAAAGTTTAATTCAAGTACCATCTCTTCTCTAAAGCCTTTCCCAATTGCACTCACTTTCCCACACCACCACCGCCACCACCGCCCACAACTGACTGTGCTGCAGGAAGCATGTCTTATTCACTGTTGTGTCCACAAGGCTTTGTTGCCCGGTAACGATGTGCCAAACGGATGAATGAATGAATACTGAGTAATTATTTTAGAACACTCTGACCCAATAATCCCACTCCTAGGAAATTTACCTCCCTATGAAAAATAAGCGACGTTAACTAGCAAGGAAGGTTTGGGTTGGAAGAAAAAAAAATTCAGTTTTCAGGATAATGAAACTGGAAAATTCTAAAAGAAATCAATAATGCTTTAAACCTATGCTAAGATTACAGTACAATGCAAAACTGCATATTTGCAATACAGGTCATTGTCATGCACGTTCATCTAATCCTCAACTGCACGTTACATCACAGGCTACAGTACTTTAACGCTATTAACCACAGAGGACCTGAGGCCCTAGAGAAATATATAAACAGAAAATGATTCTCAGGGACACAGTCTGAAAGTCAATTCCCTGGGGCGGCAGCCTCAGAACATTACCTCTAAAATGACCTGATGGGATTAACAAGTACAGCTAGGCAGTTACAGAACAGCCACAGGGATGCAGAGTGCAGCACAGGACATGGAGTAGCCAAAGAACTTACACGCATGACCCATGGACATCAACACGTGTGGGGACTGCCTGAGAGAGTGGGGGGTGCTGGGCAGAGGGGGGCAAAGGGGGAACTGTGACAACTGTAGTAGCATAAACAATAAAATATAGTTAAAAAATAAAGAAATAAAATGACCTGACAGAAGATCCCCCAGCAACCTGCGGCCACACCTATGTAGACACGCTGCTGGGTTCGGGTTGAACGTGACCTTTCCCACCTCTTCTCCTCCCCAAACCTCCCTCTCAGTTTGGAGCCTACACCCCTCAGACACCCAGCCGGTCCGGGCCTGTCGCACTGCCCCGAACCTACTTTCACCGCGTGCCCTGCTGCTTCATCAGGGGCCTGCCCGTCCCAGTGCGGCTACTGGCCTGGCCAGAAGCCACTTCTGACATCTGAGGAGCAATAACTGTGATAAATGAAGAGAAGTCCCAGTCACTCCAATTTAATGTTGTGAGAATTTAACTCAAGTACCACCAGGAGAAAGGCCTCTAAGGGGCAAATAAGACAAAGCTTTGAAGAGATGGCAATATTTCCATCTGTATTTTCTCTGATACTCACTTGGGAGGGCATAAGACTTCTTCAAGAAATTCTTCAATCTTGTTTACATCCGTTTTGACTTCATTGTTGAAAGTTATAAATGGCGGGTGGGTCCCAGGAGCCAAGTTCTGCAGGTCGACAGGCTTCCTGTTGGGATAAATACAGTGATCAACCTCGGATCATTTCTTCACTCTAACTGAGAAGGCAACAGCACCTGAAATTCTCAGGGTGGTCTGCCTTTTAAAGTATGTAAAAATGAATAGAAACATTTTTTCTACTAAGTATAACAGCTGCAGTAGTACTCTGAGAAGAAGCAAACCTCCACAAAGTACATCATTTGTAAGAAAATTAGGAGAAATCTTTCTTTTAACCCCAAAACAAAGCCCCTCATTCTCATTCCCAGTTTAACTGAGGTGCTCATTGGAAACGGTGGTAGAGCGAAGGGGAAAAAAACTGAGAACTGGGAGAGTCAGCCTGTAGTCTCCACCTGGGTACCGACTGGCTGTGTGAAGATGGGGTAAACCCTGATGTATCTCGGCCAACTGTGTGTGTGCGCGTGTGTGCACGTGTGTGTGAGAAATAAGAGACAAGAGCAGCTGATTCCTACAGTCCTTTCAACCTCCAAATTCAGATGCCACCTCTTTTCCATTTTCCTAGAAGTCAAGACTGTACAAGGAGAAAGATCCTTTGTTCAGATCTGACTACCTAAAACTGAAATTGCCTCAATACCTGTAAGACAGCATAACCAAAGGTAAGAGGTAAATAGAACGGAAAAAATATCACAGTGAGTAAGAAAGGCTTTAAATACATATTAAAGATTTTATCCAAATTCATTTTAGGAGTCATCAAGAAATCAAATAAATGTGTGTCAAAAGAAGTCAGTAAGCAATAGATAAAATAAATGAACACATGGAAAAATATCAAGAGACTCAATTACCAAATTCAAAACTAAACAATGAATATTCTTCCTATAAGTTAGGAAAAATTGAAAATACATAGAACACTGATAAAGATGGCAAAACCAGTAAGCAAACAACCACTAATAGCAAGGAACATTAGTACCACCCCATTAAAAAGCAAAATGGCTCACCTAAGCCCACCGATGAATCCTGGAATCTACATGACCAGATGCAGTGTGCACCTTAACGATGCAGAACGTGCAGCTGAACCTGAATCTAGAATCACACCTGTTTGGGCAGCTGTCTCTCCAAGTGTGGTCCAGGCTAGGGGGCCCTTTCACTGTGAGGACCACTGAGGTAAACACATCCGCATTATACTGCACTGGGTTTTCTATGGCCCACTTGGTGAGTGATATCACGAGGTACAGCATACACAGGCACAGGCATGAAAATAAATATCTTCTATTGAGGCGGACAGATATGCAAAATGTAAAAAAATGCCACTCTTCTCACTAATTTTTAGAAAATATAGTAATTTTATTATTGATTTAAATTTTATATTAAAATTGTTTTGCAATAACGAATCATGCATTAAGAAAAAGATCAAAACTATGAACATGAAAATGATAACAAACTCACAACTATTAACAAATGAATCTAAAAACTAAAACTAAAACTAAAACAAACTAAGCAAACAAGCAGAACAGGAACAGAATCATAGGTATGGAGATCACATGGAGGGTTATCAGTGGGGAGGGGGAGGGGGTGAGAGGGGGAAATGGTACAGCGTTCAAGAAGCATAATTGGCAGGAACAAAACAGACAGGGGGAGGTGAAGAATAGTATAGAAAAATGCCCTGGCGTAGCTCAGTGGATTGAGTGCGGCTGCGAACCAAAGTGTGGCTGGTTCGATTCCCAGTCAGGGCACATGCCTGGGTTGCAGGCCAAGTCCCCACTTGGGGGAACACAAGAGGCAACCACACATTGATGTTTTTCTCCTTCCTTTCCTCTCTCTCTAAATATAAATAAAAATAAAATTTTTAAAAAATAATAGAAAAAGCAGAAGCCAAAGAACTTACATGCACGACCCATGGACATGAACTAACGGGGGCAGTGGGGGCGGGGAGGGGCGGGACTGCTGGAGGGAAGGGGCTACCAGACAGAGGGGAGCAAAGGGAACGAAACTGGAACATTAAAAAAATAAAGCATTCATAAGTGTTCTGTTTAAATGAATTAGTAAATGAGTTACCTTTTTAAATGTTTTAATTTCTTTGTTTTTTTAAATACATTTTATTTCCCTCCTTACGACAGATGCACAGAATTTGAATAAAATAAAGGATATCTGAAAGTGTATCACGAAGGTGAAATACGTCGTCATTAACAATAACTTCAAACAGAGGGCACCCTGAGCCCTGTGCTCGGCGCATCTTACCGACAGCCTTTGGCCTCACCCTTCACTCTCCATTTCACTTCTCCTCCCTCCCCACACCCCACCGCTTCCCATCCCTGTCTCTCAACTTGGATTTAGAAAGTGCCTCCTCTCTCTATCACATTCTCATCAATGATACAAAGACTTAATTATTCTATTAGTCCACATTTTCTAGCTCAGGGCCTCCCTCTCCCCAAATTTTGGAGCCTATCTCCCTCCCAGGGCAAAGAGAAGTAAGACGTGTTTCCTATGAACCTCTGTGAGAACCTAAGCTCCAGGAAGGACTTTTAAAAGTCAAGATTCTGCTTTGATTTTCAACTCCGGTCCTTTTACTGAGCATTCTTTACTCTGACAAGGGAAAGAGTCAGCACGAAATGGTCAGGACGCATGAAACCTGAGCAAGTCTTCCAGATGCACATCTATTTAAACAGGCCCACCTCCAGATTTCAGTACCTTTACAAGCACTCAACTCCAAATCAGAACTACTCCTTTTCTATTTCTCATCCCACTGCTTTCTTTCACTTATTCCTTTTCAGTCCTCGTCCTGACCACCTGTTCTTCTTTGACCATTAAAGGGCCCAGCATACCCACAGCCACAGTCATCTTTACTCTTCAAGTCACCCACTCACGTGTTCACATTTTTCCAACTTAAAATTTACTTCCTCCTCAACTCAGGAAGAGTCCAGAAACCCTGCCTGTTTAGGGTCTGTACCTCTATTTTCAAATCTTAACATCTTAAAGGTTTTTTTTTGAAGGTAGCAAAAGGATAAAAAAAGGACAACAGTATCTTGTCAAAGCAAATAGGGTTAATAAGGTTTGCACAAAATACACACGAGAAAGAGAACACACACATGTCCCATGCCTGGGGCCAGGAATGAGTAAGCATGTTCTTTAATCTTGTCCTATCCACCGAGTCACACCAGCCAGGGCATCTATAATAAATTATGACAGCTTTTAAGCCCTCCTAACAAAAATATTTATTAGTGGACAAATAAAGTTAGCATGGTAGAGAAGAAAAAACCAAAGACTGAATTTTAAAAACCTGATTAAAATCTCAAATTGAATAGTTCTGCCATTCACCAGCTACGTGACTAAGTCAATCCCGACCGCCTCGGGTCTGGATTTCCTCATCTGTGCTGTGGCTCTGAGACCTGGTTTGCCTGCGGCGAGCAGATCAAATAAGGCACCAGAAAGTGAACTGCACCCAAGCCTGTGAATGGCAGTTATGACTGCTTTCAGGACCACAGTCACAAACTGTTTGAGGGTGATGGTTCAAAACTGATGATCTAGCATTAACTGGTCGGTAATAAGCGATCTGATTAACATAGAGGCATGTAAGTGAAGTGAAACCAGGTATATGATTCCCAGGTTTCCACTAATGTTGGTGACTAGTGGACAGTCCATCTGGTTTCTGCTGAAAGGCTACATAGATTTTTTTAAGAAACCAAAGTGATAAAACTATTTTCCAGAATTAACTGTTAAGATGAAGGACAACCATGTTGTGTCCTTATTCCAAGCGAAAATAGGTTTGAGAAGAAACTTTAATGACTCTAAGTGGACTAGTGGACTTCAAATAAACGGACACGTGGTAAGCACTGAGGTGACTCTGAAGGTGTATCAAGTCATCAGGCCAACAGAATCCAAGACGCTTCCACTTCTAGTTCTCACCTGGCACTCTGAGGCCTCGGGTGTTTTGTTTGACCCACAAAGGCTCGTTTTACAGGTGCTTTACACAAACTTAACATTTCAGTAACTCCCTGTGAGAGAGATGAAAATGAACGAAGAGGCAATGGCTAAAAAATTCAAGAATCTTTGGTTTTATCATCAAGGACTTTACTAAATATTCAACAATTCAGTCAAACGAATTCAAATGTTTCCCTGAGTAACAGATATCTAGAAAAAGCAAAGTACACAAAATCCGTGCCTTGAGAGAGAGCATGAGTGTACTTCAATGTTTGTTATTTTTAATATTACTTACCAAAGTAGTCCTTTTTTTAATAGTAGCTTTTTAGATCAAAAATATATTCCATTCTCTCCCTCTTCTTCCCAGATGAAGAAAAGGAAATAAAGAGAAACAAACTAACCATAAACAGAGAGGAAAAGAAAGAAATGAAAAGGAGGAACCTTATAGGAGCTAATACTTTAAGCAACATAAGTGGCTTAACTTCAATTAAATTTTAATTTGGGACACTTGCAACAGTTGGACCACGCCGGGCTGCTGGCTCAGTCCCAGCTGCTCGGTGCCAAAGGAGTCGGGCACAGCCACGGCACACTGAAGCCCATTCTTAAACATGACCTGTCTGTAACTATCTGCCTCACTACATGAAGAAAAATACGTCAGGTAGTGAGTCACTAAGAGGTTTCTATGTATCTAGAAAATACTATGTATACAGAACTTCCACTTCCCTTTTGAAGGTCTTGATTTTTAAGGCAGGCATAACACTAATTCACACTAATCAAGAGAATATTGGACACTATAAAGCAATTAAGCAAAAAAAAGCAACACCACAAATCCTTTATTGTTCCAATTTACTCCTATTAATTATTCTTCACTGGATCTGCTATATTCTGATAGGAAGGTCACTAATTGAATCAGTGAATTGTGGACGCACTCAAGCTTGCGCCAGACCCTGGTTACTAAGCATCTGTCTATGGTACCAGCTCAACCAGTGACAGCATTTTATTTACTTTGATTCAATGTGGCATACTGCTAATCTTTGTCTACTTTAATGTCCATTTGTGGAGCGATTGTTTTAAAACAAAATAGCACCTGTGCAGGTCTCAAATACAGCTTCTGTAATTCTTCTGTAACAGATTTTATTAACATGGTTTGTAAGTGCAGTTTATACTGATAACAGGTTTAAAAATATTCACTAATATTTATCTTCGAAATTATCTCAAACATAAAGAACATAAAGACATGTGGCAACAAAATTCTCCCTTGGTGTGACTATACATCTGTCTATCCCTACGTCTTCCTCTTTTGCACAAACACATACACGTGTGGAGTGTACCTATGATTCAGGACGCGTCCTCAGGACATAGACCTTGAATTGTTAGGACTGTTCCAACAGGGCTTCATGTAGCTCAAGTCAAATTTACACTGGGGAAGGACAGAGTTTGTATTGCACTTTGCCGACAGGCCAGCAGCAGGAGGTGGGTGATCTCTCTAAAAGGCCGGCCTGCTCCACTCTGTTTAGCTTCCCTGCACGTCCCGGTCGCACTGCTGTTTCTGAAGATCCACCTGGAAATCACCACTCTCGGCCTGTTGGAGGTGTTTTCAGACAGCTGGGACCACAGAAACATGATAACGAAAGCAAACTATCTGAAGGATCTGCTTGGACATTGGATTTTGTTCTGGGTTTCCAACTGCCTTTTAAGATGTGCGGAACTATCAGTTTTATCGTTTCACTGTAACACCTTAAACTTTTACAGAATTGTTAGAAGTTGAAACTATCGTAATCTTCTAAAACTTTACGCCATTATTATGGCAACTTACACGTGGGTCTGACTCGCACAATGCTACAATTAGTATGTTGACATTTGAATCAGAAAGAACTCAGTTGTGATAGTGCAAAGGAGGAGACGGTTACAGCGTTTAAAGTAGGAATGAGAAAATGGAAGCGCACCTTTAAAAATGGCCTCCAATTTACTTTTTTTCTCTGACAATACCATGGGGTGGGGCGGAGGGTAAATTTCAGTCACTGGTAATACTGCAGATATCACTGTTTTTATAATAAAAAGTTAATTTCTTAAAGTTATCATTTCTACTCTCATTTCTCAAAACCGGAAGTTTACCCCAGCAAGTATGGGACAAAATATGACCCCATTCGGTACATCCACGTCAGTGTTTCAGCTCCTCTCTCGTTCTCTCTCCCTCCCTCTCCCTGTCCTCATACTCTCTTCCTTGCCTACCTCTCAGCATAATTATCTCGGCTCTACAGATGCTGATCTCTGATCTAGGGACTTCCAGGCTGAATGGAGACAGTGGAAATCTTCAAATAAAGACCTTGATCACTGCCAGAAACCTGTCAGCCTGAAAGGCTTTGTAACACCGTGTGATAAGAAAGTTCTATTCAAGGAACAGGTCTGAAATGATCTGATAAGAGTAGTAAAAAGTGCCCTGAACAGTGTTTAGAACATAATAGACACTGAAGAAACGTTAGCTCATTTTACCCCTCCTTTTCCCTGAATTTAAAAATGAGCTAACTGACCTCCCAGATGAGGCGGCTTGCCCAGGGCCCTGGACTCTCTGCAAACGGGGCCGGGTTTCTACCACACACAGCCATTTCCCTTTGATGACATGTGACAGCATTTTTACATGTGCACCCCCAATTTTAATGCTTTCACTTACATTTATCTGAAGCTTTTGTTGAAATAGTGATTGTTGCTAGAAAACCCAAATTCTTTTGAAGCCTAGGCAGTTCTTTAAATCTAAAAGTTCTATAATGCAGTTGTGGCAGGAACTGAAAATTAGCTTTAGAAATGACTCCCACTCCAGCACTGAGGCAGCACTGGCGGGCGAGCAAGGGGAGGTTCTTCCAAGTTTCCCGGGGGCACATGAACGCCACCAGCACGGTCATTAACACCAACTGCGATTCAGAGAGAACGTGTCGCACAGTGCCGGAACGGCTTGTTTTTTACAGATGAAATGTCACGTAACAATAATTTTTTCAGAGCATAGAGTGAGCTTCTAAATAGCTGTCAGGAGAGTTCTATTGCTCACCACTGGTTTCTTCCAGGATTAGTACTTTTCACTGAGCAGTTAAGCAATTACCTGGAAAAGCAGGAAAATAAACGCAGTAGGCGTTTTCTCCCCTACAGCTTTCTGAAGACAGTCCTATTTGGTTTTAAAGTTAAGAACACATGATGAAAGGTACTCTTCACTACAGGATTTTTATTCCTCTGTGAGGACTTGACTTCTTTCTGAGCCAATGTTCACTTTCTCCAGGGACTGTCTCTTTGAAATCTAACTAAAGACTGAAAGTGAGTCAACTCACTGAAAAAGATGGGAAAGATAAAGACCGAACCTAAATACAAAGCTATCTGTGAAAGGAAGTTGATGGCTAAGGGTGGACGGGACGCACCCTCACGTACAGCTTGTGTACTTTCTTTCAACCGCCCTTAGGAACCATTTTTAAATACACAGCAGACCTAAAATTTCTACAGAGAACTAAAAAGGACAGGCCCCCGTATTAGTGTTCTCTGTTGATTTTACACAAAGCCTGAGGAAATAAACATGCATTTTCTTTGAGTGGTAGTACTTTCCAAAAGGAGGCCCTGAATCTTTCCTTGGACAAGAGTTCCCAAGTGTCACTTTTGACATGTAAGGCACATTACTCTTAAACGTACACAAATGCTCAAGTATCAACCGACTTACAGGAATAATGCCTTAAAAGGTTTGCAAAAGTGAAACTGATGACTTTGAAACAGCCCTTATGTGTTCGCTTCCTTTTCTGAACCAGATTCCCATTGTTTATGGTGCCGTCACTGGTATGTCCCACCATCCAGCACTGCACTGAGCTGTTCAAAGAATTTTTGGAAGCATGGCCATCAACTCACTTGCTCCAACCCAAAAATGGAATAGGAGAAATCGTGTATTTTAAGACACAGCAAGGGTGTGTGCCTGGCGGCATGGTCTATTTTTAGGAGTTATGTTGGGGAACTTTCTTTGTGAATGCGTGGATGGAAAAAACAGTAATCAAAGGGTCACTACATGAACTATTTCATTCTTATAACAGCTCGGTCTGATGGGAACGACGTATGTCTTCGAAAGAGCCTGTAGTTTTGACCCTCACCGTCCCCAAGGCTTACCTCTCCACGCGTATGTGTAACTAATGGGGTTCCTGGAAGACTTCATGGCTTATTTTTAATAAATAAATTCCAAGTCTGCAATATTTCAAGTAAGTGCGCTAGCAGTAAGAAATAAACTGTAAGGAACTGCCAGAGGTCCCGGGGAACAGTAACCTAGAACTGGGCGTGAGAGTACAGCTCTCATGTCACGCTCACGCTGTGGTACCCAGAAGAGGGGTCACATACGTAAGTTCTGCCATCCATCGAGTCAGTATTCTCTTTTCTTCAATACTGCCCATAACTAATACGCTTAAAAAATAAGCAGCAAACTATGTTGTGTGTGGCATTTCTGTCAAGGGGAATATTATTTCCACTGCTGAATCCTAGATTTTCTGTTGGTATAACTGTTTCTGATCCTTGATTTAAATCTTTTCTTTTTTCAAGTATGCAAGTTCTTCACCTCAGGGGGAACACATGTTCCTGAGGAAAAAGCCAACCACGTATCAGGGTGGAGAAAGGGACAGCTCTCCGACTACCAAGACCAACCCCCGCCGTGGGTACCTGCCCTTACTGCACGGTTATATTTAACCAGCCCTGGTTACAAGGATCCCGGTTACACAGGCCATTAGGCCACTTGTTCAGCAAACTTGGGACCAAGACACCTGCTCTGAAAGCCTCTCGCGGGTCCATGTTTACACTGCAAAAACTCCACTGCATCCACACGGAAAGTTATCGCCTGGTGCTGCTCTTGAAATTTAAGGTAAACATACAATAAGGTCCTAAGAAGACTGCATGGCCACATGCAATTAACTGACATTGTGAGTTCCCATAATACTTAACACAAGTTAAATCTGTCCACACTCAGTCAAACTTTACAATGCACTGTCTTTAGAGAACAGATGCAAATAGAGTGAAGGGCTTAAGCTGACCCCAAACTGCAAGCACGTCTTACCTTTTCAGGTCAACAGTGGTGACACTGAACACAACTCCTTTGAGCCACAGAATCATGAAGAGCCTCTGGGAGAAGGGGCAGTTTCCTATGCTTTCACCATCACTGCCGGCCTGGGGAACAGAAGCAAACGTTACAGAACAGGTCGAACTGATGACACCCAAAATAACAGACTTTTTCCTGAACTTTTCATCAAGGATACAAGAAGGCAGGGAAAGTTGCACTGTGGAAGGAAGGGTGAGTATTCAGGTTTTATTATTCTCCTTTTCCATTCGCCTCATTCTCTTTTTTAAAATGGCCAGTGCAGCCCTAGCTGAGTTGTTGGTTGTTTGAAGCATCATCCTGTACACCAAAAGGTTGCAGGTTCAACTCCTGTTAAGGGAACATACCTAGCTGCAAGTTCAATCCTCAGTCAAGGCTCGTACAGAAAGCAACCAACTGATGTTTCTCTCTGACATCGATGTTTTTCTCCCTTTCTCTCACTCTTTTCTTCCTCTCTCTCTAAAATCAATAAACGTATCCTTGGATGAGGATTAAAAATAATAATAATAAAAATTAAAATGGCCAGTCTAGTATAGCAATGTCCAAGAGAAGTTACTGCAAAGACAGAAATGATCTCTATTACCACTGACCAATGTGGTAATCATTCGTGGCCTGTGGCTAAGAAGTATCTGAAATGTGGCCAGTTCAACTTAACTGAATTTTAAATTTTTATTCACATTTAATAAATTCTAATTTAAACGGTCACATGTGGCCCATGGCTATCATTCACACAGGACAGCAGAGGTCTAATCAGTCTTTAGGGGATGCAGAGACCCCCGCCCCAGGGCGAAGCCTATCATGGGTTTTATGAAATGTAGATCACTTTTCGTTCTATGAGATAATACTCTTTTTTTTTTTTTTTTTTTAGTTTTTAGGTATTTATTTCTACTGAGAGGCGGGAGGAGGAAAGACAGGGAAACATGATGTGCAAGAGGAACAGCAATGGGCTGCCTCTCGCACTGGCCCACAGCCCAGGCATGTGCCCTGCCTGGGAATGGAGCTGGCGACCTTTTGGTCCACAGTCCGGCACTCAATCCACTGAGCCACACCAGCCAGGGCAAGGTAACATTCTTTATAGGACAACATAAAAAGGGAAATTTGTAGATGTGTCTCTCTCTGAAGAGTTAAAATAATTGCCAGCCTCCCCGAATTGTTAAAAATATTCATTATAAAATTTACATGTCCTGTTTTACACATTCCTTCAGGGAGAAAAGAAAATAACATAGCTTTACAATGAGCTATTTGTAATCCACTTAATGAATGCAGCAGTTGACTTCCCCGAGTTCAACAATGAGGTAGAATTTTCCTAAAAACCAGAGTGGAATAAATCTTCAATTCAATCATGTATGTCCCAAGTTTAAAAGGGAGGGAGGAGGGGAAGGGAGAGGCGGGCTGGGGAGCCAGCTGCTGGAAGAGAACATTCTGACACCTGCTGGGGACCAACCCGGCCCTCCAGCCCTCTTCAGCAGGAAGTCTATGAAGAAAGCCAGAAACAACTTTCAACAAGTCATCCAAAGATGCCCGTAAAAGTACTGTTTACTATCCTAAAGTAACTCTGAAAAACCTCAGGAGCCCTTTGAGTAAAATGCTACATGCAGCTAAGTCATTCATTCCTAACTAATGGTGAAATGGGGGGTGGGAAAAAAACAAAAAGTTACCCGTCACACCTGATATAACTAGCAAACACACACAGGCCCATAAGGGTTCCAGAACCCCAGCCTAATCAGACAGCATGGGAGAGTTCTAACTGGGACTGAGGGGGAGGGTGGGTCATTCTTTATCAGAAACAAAACACACACAGAATTATAGCCAGAATGGATCTGATTAATTTCTAATACTATAACTTAGGCAAAATTTACTTCTGAAAGAAGTTCTAGTTCTCCAATTTGCGGGGCTGTCCAACCCACAGCCCATGGACTGCATGTGGCCAACACAAAGTTGTAAATCTACTTAAAACCCTTTTTTTTTTTTTTTGCACATCAGTTTTCCTTAGTGTTTGTGCATTTAAGTGTGGTGCAAGACAATTCTTCCAGTATGTCCCAGAGACGCTAAAAGGTTGGACACCCCTGCAAGTTTAGAGTAAGAACAACCTAAAGAAACCATTTAAATAATATTCCTGAACTGGAAAGCATTATGCTAAGCGAAATAAGCCAGGCAATGAAAGATAAATACCATATGATCTCACCTTTAACAGGAACCTAAACAACAAAACAAACAAACAAGCAAAATATAACTAAAGACACTGAAATAGAGAACAGGCTGACAGTGACCAGAGAGGAGAGGGGAGGGAATTCCAGGGGAAAAGGGGTAGGGTTTACAGGAACCAATATAAAGGACATGTGGACAAAAACTAGGAGGGGTGGAAATGGGAGGAAGAAATGGGTGCATGGGCTGGGATGGGAGTAAAAGACAGAAAACCGCACTTGAACAACAATTAAAATAAAATAAAATAACCTTTATTTACAAAAGCAAAAAAATTAATTAATTAAAATGAAATAATATTCCTGAAGATTCAAATTCAGAAGAATTCCTAGGGGAGGCCCAGAAATCCTCGTTTTGTGAGAGGCACCCTCACGCACAGGGGATCACAGAGTTGGGCATCTGCTGGACACCCCGGGAGCCGCTGGTGCGGGAAAGTTAAGTCGATACTCCTTCAGAGCACAAGCCAGTTCCCAGGACTAAGTCATTCTGCTATATAACAAACTGATACTCAAAGGTGCTTTTCTGAAGATGCTCACCATCCAAAGTGAAGTGAAGAACACACAGAGAAGTGATAACATACAAGTGAGTTTATTACAGATAAGAAACCGTTAACACATTCCCCTTCTATACGGCTTGATGACTAATATATTTACACAGGGTTGTGGCTTCAGACACCCAGATTTTATTATCATTGTTTTGCTTTTTTCCCCTCCCAGTTTTAACATGCTTAGCAGCAGAAGCATAAATACCAGAAAAGGATACCAAATTGAGACTTAGACTAAAAAAGCAGTAAAGTTTAGTAGACACAGAACAAGTCTGACTCAGTGCGCATCCTCTTCCATTTACTTAATCTGTAAAATTAACCTTTCCCAAACTGCCCGTCATAGCACCGTTAAAACAGTTCCCCTGGTAAAGATGATGTAATAAAGATGCCACATGTAGAACCTGGAAAACACATTGTAAAAAGCAACTGGCCAGAGAGGAAAACCACCACCCATAACGTCCTGCGAAGGCCGAAGAGCAGGCCCGCGGATCTCACACACCATCTCCTCCTGAGGACCTGGTCAGGGTACAGATGCTTCTGTGCTCTCACCTCCTTTGTCTATGATTTTCTAGGAAAGTTTGCCAATTCTTGCAGGTGTTATCAATCATAAGCCATTACGTTCTCACCCTCCTTATAAAACTACTTTCCTTTATGCATTCAAAACTAAAAGCATACATACTCTAAGACAGAACTAAAAAATTGCCTCATTAACTACTCCCAAAACTCATGAAAATTCAAATAAATTTGGACATACAACTTTTCCCAATTTTTAATAGCATTAGAAAATTGAGAGCTACCAGACAGATGTTTTTGTAAAGAACCGTGAAACTGGAAAACTTTGGATTTCTAGAAGTCCAAGTCAAAAACGTCCTCCCTTAGCCCTGGTTGGTGTGGCTCAGTTGATTTAAGTTCCAGCCTGAGAAGCAAAGCATAACTGGTTCAATTCCTAGTCAGGGCATGTGCCTGAGTTGCCAGCCAGGTCCCCCAGTGTGGGGCATACAAGAGGCAACCACACATTGATGTTTCTCTCCTTTTTTCTCCCTCCCTTTCTCTCTCTCAAAAAATAAATAAAATCTTAAAAACAAAATTGAAACACTACAAGTCAGTTTTCCTACCCTTGAACTGTTCAACAGTTTGTTACTTATTCATCTAGATTTTTTCTATATACATATATTTTTTCTTTTAAAAATGATCACTATAAATACATTTTTATGATTTATGCATTTTAATGCCAATTTAATGTGATCAACCTGCTGGAGGCTGTCGTGCTCCCCAAGACGGTGTCGAAGAAGGCCAACGAGGAAGCAGAGGCTTTCGACCCCCTTCCTAGTAAAAAGGAGCACCCCCCCCTCGCTGCTGGGGTGGAGGTCAGAGGAGGTCTAGGAGACAGTGGTCAGGACGAGCACCATCAACCAGAAGGGGCTGAGACCCCCTCAACCGGAGTGTCAGTGGGGGCCCCACACGAAGCTGGAGCTCACGCCCCCACCCAGCAGTAAAGAGGAGCCTCACACCCTGGGTGTCCGTGGAGGCCGGGTGGGGAGGCCGGGTGGGGCGTCTGGACTTCGATCTCCGCCTCGCTGGGACAAGGCGGTGTCACTGTACTTCCCCCTCCTGACCCCCTCTACTGCAGCGACGGAGAAGTTTACAGAAGGTTTAAACAAGACGCAGACTCTCATAATACAAAAACATCCAGGTGTAAACTGAAAATCACTTGTATTACAAGGAAAAAAGGTAATCAACAGAAGTCAACATCAAGATGACAAAGATGTTAGCCCTGGCCGGTGTGACTCAGTTGGTTGGACCGTCATCCTGTCATCCCGTAAACCGAAAGGTCACGGGTTCAATTCCAGCTAGTGTTCAGGTTTGATCCCTGGGGGGTGGGGGGTGGAGGGCTACGAGAGAGCAACCGATTGATGTTTCTCTCTCATACTGGTGCTTCTCTCTCCACCCCCCTCCTTCCTCTTTTCCTAAAGCAATGAAAAGAATGTCCTTAGGTGAGAATGGGGGGGGGGGGAGAAAATAACAAAGATGTTAGAATTATCAAAGATTTTAAAGCAGGTGTGATTAAAAAAAGAAAAAAACCTTCAATGAACAATTTTGAACAGCTTGAAACAAATGAAAAAATGGAAAACCTCAGCAAAGAAAGAGAAGACGTAAACAAGAACCAGATGGAGATTTGAGAACTGAAAAATACAATAAATGAAATGTGAAGTTTAGAGGACAGGCTCAAAGGCCACATGGAGGTGACAGAGGAAACAATTACTGAACTAGAAGCTCGAGCTACGGAAATTACCCAGTCTGAACAACGGAGAAACAGTGCACTGA